GGGACAATGAGCCGCCGGCGGTTGACCGCCGCTACCACTGAAATACGCGAGATTCAACAATCCTGTCAAAATTAAAGCTTTTCAAAGCGCTATTTTCAGTATGGAAGCTCTATCTAGAGATAAGAGATTAAGGCTTACTGTTAAGGCTTTTAATAAGGGCTAATTCTCTTTAAAACAGGTGTATGCTGATGCTTTTAATATTAAGATAAGCACCTTTAAAGGCCACTTAAAAAGGGCCAAATCCTATAGTATTTTAGAGGCTAATTTAAGAAAGCTTTCTAATATAGATAAATTAGTTTTAAAGTAAAAGATTCTAGATATAGACTCTTAAGGCTATCCCCTTACTATTACTAAAGTGCACTACCTTACTAAGCTTCTTCTTACTATAAAATTAAAGTTATCTAAAGCTAAAAATATATTTATTAGTAAGAAATAGGTTAACTAATTTATACACTACTATAAAGCTAAATTAAAGTTAAAATATATAAGAAGATATAACTATTAATATATAAAATATAAAGATCTAAAGATTATAAAGCTATAGTTTAAATTAGCTTAAAAGACTATATAAAAATATAGTATTCTTAAATAAGATATATATAATATAGATAAAACTAGCTTTTAAATAGGAATAGCTTTAACTGCAAAGGTTATATATAGTTCAGAGTCTAGAGAAATATATACTAGAGTAATTTAGCTAGGGAATTAGGAGTGGGTAACCTTAATTATTATAATTAATACTACTGGCACTGTTTTACCTCTATAGATTATTTTTACTAGAAAAATATAGTAAGAGAAGTGGTTTAAAGCTATTCCTAGTAACTATTAGATTAGTATAAGTGAAAATAGCTAGATAATAGATAAAGTTAGCTTTAAATGGCTTTAAGCTTTTAATAAAAATATAGCTTTAAAAACTACAGGCTAATATTACCTTCTTATTCTTAATAGCTATAGAAGTTATTTAACACTTAAATTTAACTAATTTTATAAAGAAAGGAATATTATTTTATTATATATACCTCCCCATTTATCTCATAAGCTTTAACTATTAGATATAGGCTGTTTTACACCATTAAAACAGCTATATAGCTAGCAGATCTATGATGCTATTCAGAATAGTATTAAATTTATTAATAAAGTTAATTTTTTATATTATTATTAGTATATACACTATAGAGCTTTCTCTATAGTAAATATTCTCAGCAGCTTTAGAGTAGCTGGTCTTATTCTATATAATTTAGAAAGAGTGCTTTTAAAGCTTTAACTTAAGATAAAAACACTAATACTATTATCCACTATATTATCCAGCTTAAAGTCTTTCTATCTTAGAAAAATGCTAATAAATCTTTACTAGCTTAAGTATTAAAAAGTAGAGCTTAAAAGCTTTAAAGATTAAGGCCTCTTATCCTTTATTATAGACTAAACTCTTAAAAAGGTCATGAAAGATGCAGAAATAGTAATAGAAAATACTATTATACTTTAATAGGAGATATATTAGCTTTATATAACTAATAAGTATAAGTAGAATAAGAAAAAAGCCTTATAATAATATATTTAAGAAGGAGGCACCTTAACAGGCTAAGAAGGTTAAGATAAAGCTTAAAAATTAGCTTAAGAAAGAGAAGAGGAGTTAAATCAGGCATCTTAACAGGTGCATTCAGCACGCCGGCCACCACACTGCAGTCACTGTGGTAAAGAAGGTTATAATTATTTAAAATATCCAGCTAGATTAAACACCTAGCCAAGCTGTATATATTTCATTTGTATGGTGCTGAAAAGCTTCAATTTTAATTTATTCATTGTCAATACACGCATTTCGGTGGTGGTGGCGGTCAACCGCCGGCGGCTCGTTGTCCCGGCGGTTCGTTGTCCGATTACGTTAGTTTAAAAAAGATATTATATAAGAATTATTAAAGTATATTAATAACTCTTATATACTTAATATCTATTTTAAAGAAAAATAATTATAATCTATAAAGTATTATATAACTTATAAAAGGAAATCCTCTTAATTATTTTAATAATATATTAGTATATTATAATTTAAAATAATTATTTATAAGATTATTAAAAACCTATTTATATACTTATATTACTAGTATTTACTAGAGCTAGCTTAATATATACTTCTTTAAAGGTAAAGAAGGTATCTTTAGTATAAAAGCTAGTAATAGAGTATATAACTTCTATATATTTATGAAGGTTATATTATTATCTTCTTCCTTTTTCTCCTCCTTAATAGAGGCTATATTAATTAAAATACTAGCTAAATAAGATACCTTAACTTATATAATATAATTATAGATCTTAATAGCCTTAGCTAGCTACTCTTCCTTAAATTTACTAGGCTATAAAATAAATATATAAGTATAAAAAACTATAAAGTAAGTAATATAATAGTAAAGAGAAGAGACTTATTTTAAAAATATATTATTAATATTATTAGATTATAAATATATTACTTATCTAAAGTTATTATAATAAGATTATAATACTTTTATAAACCTATTCTAATATAGACTTAGACTATAATATAAATATGAATATTATAGTGGGGGATCTTATATAGTAAATAATATAAGTTTTTATTATTAGGACCTACCCTCTAGCTTACTTATAATAATAATAATACCTCTTAGAATTAATATTATTAAAGATATAGATATAGTAAGAGTTATATTAAAGTATATAAAGGTATCTATAGTATTATTTAATACTAGATAATAAATTGACTTATTAAATTTCTTTAATATTAAGTAGGAGATATTATTATATTATAAAAGTAATTACCTCTTCTTTCTTTTATTAAAGGGTATAGATATAATCTTCTTTAAGTTATATAATAATAATTAAATATTCCTTCTTCTTCTTTTTCTCTTTCTTTTCCTTCTTCTTTTTAATAGTATAAGAATAGCTTCTAATTACTATAATATTATAATATATAATAGTATAATAAAGGGTATAAATAAAGGTTATTCTTCTTTTATATTAATAATAAATATTAGCTATATTTATTATATAAGGTACTAACCCTATTTAATTTAAATATAATATCTTAAACTACTTAGCTTAAACTAGATTTATTAACTACTTTATATCCTATAGTATAGTTCTTTAAGAAGGAATTAAGCTAATATTAAAAGAAAAATATTATAATAAAGACTAATAGAACTTAAAAATAAAGCTAGGAACTTAAATAAAGTAGTTAAAGATATAATATAATTTAAATAAATATAATAAAATAAGACTTAAAGCTATATTTATAAGATAAGAAGAAAGACTAACTAAATTAATTAAAGAAAGAGAGAAAGGAAGAAAGCTTTATATAAGAATAAAATTATTTTATCACACCCTAGGATCTTATAATAGTACTATACCTATAAACCTATAAGTTAAGCCTAAAATACTAACCTATAATCCTAATCTAAGGATATTAAAAGTAACTAGAGTGCTCCTAGAAGCTAAGGGTACTTAAGAATATAGTAAGGTAATTAAAGAGAGAAGTAAGGCTAAGAAGTATATATACTTAATTAATTAAAGATATATAAATAAGTAGGTAGAATAATTAAGGTAAGTAATTTAAAAGGTAGCTATAGAATAATAACTTATATTAATTATAAAGAACTATCTAAGTATATAAAATAATTATCCTTATATATCTTCCTTAAATCTTTATAGTACCCTAGATAGTCCTTTAAATAATATATATAAGGTATCTCAAGATATATACTAAAGTATATACTATCCTAGATAATATATTAAATAGTATATTTACTAAGATATAGTATTATATACAATATTATATAAGAGTATGCCTAGTAGTGGTTATAAAGAGTATTATTATAGTAAATTATAATTCTCTATAATAAGAATATCCATTTCCCCTTAACTGCCTGATTCTGCCTAATATAGTCACTAATAAAGGTGCTGTAACATATTTATATTTATAAGTTAAATAAACTAAAAACTATATAACCTATTATCTATAATATAACTATATTTAATTATTTATTATAATATAATTTAAAAATATAAAGTACCTTATATATTATTAGGATAATATAGCTAATTAATATTAAGCTAGCTAACTTACTATAACTAATATAATATATAATATAATAAGTTTCCTATCTAATTAATAATATATAAGCTTTATTAATACTATATTAATAGATATTAAAAATAATCTTAATATTATAAGGCTATAGTCTTTTAAGAGGTAGAGGTAGTATTATAACTAATAGCTATATAATAATACTCCTAATAATATCTTATATAATCTACTTAATAATATATTAAGTTAGTCTACTATATATTATATAACTATACTATAAATATCCTTTATATCGAGTATATTATATTATACCTTAGTAATTAGTTTAATATATTCTACCACGCTCTCTATGCACCTCATAGGATATGTCCTAACAATTTTATATACTTTCTTATATAAATATATATAGCCAGCAGTGTATTTATTAAAATATAGAAATATAACTTTATAGGTAGTAAACCCACTGACTAGTTAGATAATAAAAAGGGTTTAGCAGTTAAACTGTGGGCACCAAGCCACAAAAATATGCTAAAATGAATAAAACACCAGATGAAGGGATACTATATCTCAGTGATTAGTTTAATATAATCCACCCATATGTTCTACCATGCTTTCTACGCACCTTATGGGATACATCCTAATAATACTTCTTTAGCCTTACTTCTCTCTATAACCACCTTACTATATTATTAAGTATTATTAGCTTATAGGAGCACCCTAGTTACTGTTAATATCCTTAGATTAGGGTTATAGGTTAGTATTCCCAGGCTTGACTCATAGGTTACAGGTTCGGTACCATTGCAAGATCCCAGGGTGTGACACTCACCTTATTACTTAAACTCTACTCATTACTTATAAGTAGACTTGACTCATGTGACACACTAACTCTATATATCATATATAGCAGCCGAGGTAACTAAGGTAAGACTCAGGTTATTATAAATATGGCTTATTAACTTGGAAGTATCAACTGTATCCCCGCGGAGTATTGTAGTGGGGTGGCAAACTTGCCACTTACATCTGCTTATCAATATCTTCTCTGACAATGCTCCACAGATTAGCCGTTTTTCTACCCCTCCTATACTTTTTCCCTTTCTCTCCCTTTTACTTTTTTTAACACCCCTCCTCCTTCAACAAAAATAAAATATAATATCCCAATCACCATCCCATGAATCAATATATGACCATCAATATCCTAATCTACCCAGACTGAAAAACCCAGCAATCTATCTACTACAGAACAGGTGAAATCGCAGTGCACATAAGACCTACCCCAATCTTTAATCTCCATCCACCACCATAAGCTCAGCAATCAACTATTCAACTCATCCTAACGGTTGCAATGTCACCATCAATCGCTCTTGATACTTCTGCCGAGTTCTCACCCACACCTCTACCGTCTGTCCAATCTCTACCAGGCCGGACGCTATTACTTTCTCCACCATCCTTGTCTTCGCACCCCGAAAAGCTGAATGAGATTACCCATTATTATGATCATACTGCGGCAGATTTGCAAATGATAGATCGCATAGCTCTTGGCTTTGTGTCTTTGCCCCCTTCAACTTATGATACTGTCCTTATTTTGGCAAACGCGGACGGTTCCTTTTCGGAGAGCATAAAAATTGCAGAACGTGATACCTTTGCTATGGTCGTTCAGTCACTTAAACCAGGAGGGCACCTACGCAGTCAGAGTACAGTGCATCTCTCGCATGACCATTTATACGAGACAGAGGCTGTACTTGCAGGGTTAGTCCGCGACAAGAATGGTGGATTTATGAAACCTGACTTTGGAGAACAGCAGGCCGTGCCGTTGCGGCTTGGAAAAAAGAAGAGGGATGGCGCAGAAGTTCCCAATGGACAGAAGGTTACATATTCAATGGAAGCCACGCTATCCGTTTTAAATGGGGCCAAAGCTCAGGAAGTGGCCGAAAAACCCACTGGCGTTGGATTTGTCGATTTCAGCGACGATTTCACCACTGGAATAATCCCCAGTGATCCAGAATGCTCTGGAGATGAGCTTATTGATGAAGATACTCTTCTAGATGACAATGACCTGAGTCGACCTATCGTTCAGCGTACGTGTTTATCCCCTCCAGGCAACCCTTCCCCCCTCTTCAAATAAAAAGGCATTGAGCCCATTCTCCGTGCTCATACATCGAAGAATTTTCGCTGATATTAGAGAGATAGCCCCTGAATGTCGCCCAAAAGCGGGAAAACGCCGCCGGGCTTGCAAGGACTGTACTTGTGGATTGGCCCAGAAACTCGAGGAAGAAGATGTAGCAAAGAGGGCAAGTGCCGACAAAGCACTTGACTCGTTGAAATTGGACCAAACCGATTTGGCAGAGGTCGATTTTACAGTACAAGGCAAAGTGGGAAGCTGTGGAAATTGTGCTCTAGGAGATGCTTTCCGCTGTGACGGATGCCCCTATATCGGTCTGCCAGCTTTCAAGCCTGGCGAGGAAGTAAGGCTCTTGAACAACGATGTTCAACTCTGAGCCGAATTCTCAAGTCTGATTTGTTATTGCCGGTCCTGGGATGCTAGGTGTTTTCCTTCGGGGTTTACCTAAAATCAGGCCATCTTTGCTTTATTCCGGACGGATAACCCGACCCAGTTTACTCTGGTTAGTGTTTTTTTACTTTGAGGGCGCCATATCATTATTCCCCAGTCAATACCATGACAAAGCAATATGATACCTATTAGCCACATGGTAGGTACTACTATACTGATGATTATAGGTAGGTATCCATATATCAGTATTAAGATTATTCACTAATCAGACTATTCTAACGTATACTATGTAGTTTTAAGTGATTTATAGTTAGCTTTAATCTTGGTCTTCATATATGTTACCATTTATAATTACATCAATATAACTTCTGATATTAGGTGTGGAGCTTCTATAGATAACATTTAAAGCTGCTTAATACTTGTCTGGATTGGGAGAAGTACACGTGATCAACGGTTTACCTTACTACCATAGGTAGGCCAACCTGAAATCACTGAGTGGTTCCAGCCAATAGCAGTAATGTCAACAGCCCATTCCATACATAAGAAGTTCTGCTGATCTGGCCGATGAGCACTAGGTACACTGCCTTCCACTTATGTCCCTTAACCCCTCCCCTCTTACGCTGATGCCTCCCCTAACAGCTGACAACTGGCCTATTATATTCAGAATCTAATTAAAAGAAAAGTCGCGGCGCATAAATGCGCCGCCCTTTTCTTGTATTAAGTATTTACCTAGGTAACTGCCTAGGCTAAGAATCAACCACTCCCGTCCAAGTCAGGTGATATTCCCACTGGGCCAAAAGATCAATATCAGCACTTCCATGTGCTTATTAGCGTGCGTCCATAGGTTAGCATCAACCACTGATCTAACATGGGCCTAGTTACATAGTACATGGATACCTCGGTACGATAGTCCATACCTGCATTATGCTCATCGCATAATTGTCATTTGGCAGAGTACACCTTCGGGCAAAGATCAATAGGTATTAATCAGCTTTACTTTAGTTATCTCAGAATAATATTCTATAAATAATACAGCCCATCTAAGCTCCTAACCACCCTAATTTGAAAAGGCGTTAAAAAAATCACCTAGCCCATTTTTCATAGAAAATGAAAATTCATCAAATTGGAGAGCTGATGCTTATACTTGATAGTTACATATTCAAAACAGGTAACTAGAGACAATAAAAAAGTACCAAATTACAATTACAGGAGTAACCTGAGTTTACATGGTTACGCGCTTAGTTATCTTACCCAAGCAAGGTCACACCGCTGCCCCCTCCCGCGGCTGTCAATGTCTTATCATCCCGTGCGATCCATCAATCCTTCTTGGAACAGATCCCAACAATCTACCGATTGCTCACGTAAATCAAGCATCTAAAATACAACCTCCCTTATCCCCAGGTGCCTTTACCTGATCCTGAGGTTCATATTATTTACATCCTTTTTTTTTCTATTTTCTTTTGTTCTTTTGGTCTTTGTTCCATCAGACCAGTGTGGTCCCCTGGAGCCTGTTATTCTTGGGTTCCTGTTACCAGTTTGAAAAAAGCCACGGAGGAAACCCCACTATTATCCCAGCGAATTTTATTATCCCATATAATTGCGCACCTCTACACCATGTCCTTTTCAAACCTTGTTTCTGATATCGCCTTTCGTGATGCGCACCCTGATGACCGCAGCTCGCAGATCTCTCACGCGCGATCACAAGCAACTGCTAGATCATATACAAGCACCGCGGCCACGAGTGTCAGTATATCTGGTGATATTTCAAGCCAGCTACACTCTGGCTACAGTCATCCCCTAAGCAGATCATGGCAGGCTGAAAGGCAGTTGACCAAGGTTCGTTAAGCCCCTATTACAGGTGTTGATGATTCTAAATAATAGTAGGAGATGCTCATATACCCGCTTTTTATTACGGATAATCCTGATGAAGAAACACCAATACCATCTCTACCTAATCAAAACCGCCGAGGCGTCAATCGCATAGTCCCCTTTCTGAAACCGCTTGTCCAGAAGGGGCTACGTTCAGTGATTTTGTTTGGGGTCCCCCTACACCCTTCTGCAAAAGATGCGCTCGGAACTGCTGCCGATGACCCCGCTGGCCCAGTCATTCAGGCCATCCGTCTTCTTCGGTCCCGATTCCCCCAACTCTACATTGTGACTGACGTGTGTCTTTGTGAATATACATCACATGGTCACTGTGGAATACTCAAAGAAGATGGTACGCTGGACAATGCACAATCTGTGGATCGAATTTCAGATGTAGCGCTTGCATATGCTATAGCTGGTGCTCATTGCGTCGCGCCTTCTGACATGAACGATGGGAGAGTACGCGCCATCAAACTCAAGCTGATCGAAGCCGGCCTTGCGCATCGTGTTCTCCTGATGTCGTACAGCGCCAAGTTTAGCGGTTGCCTTTATGGACCTTTCCGTGACGCCGCTGGCTCATGCCCATCTTTTGGAGACCGTAGATGTTACCAGCTCCCACCCGGTGGACGCGGCCTTGCTCGACGTGCAATCCAGAGAGACATGGGCGAAGGGGCAGACATAATTATGGTCAAGCCTGCGAGCAGTTACCTGGATATCATTAGGGATGCAAGAGAGCTAGCAAAGGACATACCGATTGCTGCCTACCAGGTTAGCGGCGAATACGCGATGATTCATGCCGGAGCGAAAGCGGGCGTTTTCGACTTGAAGTCCATGGCTTTTGAGAGCACAGAGGGAATCTTGAGAGCCGGTGCTGGAATTGTAGTAAGTTATTTTGTACCAGAATTTCTGGATTGGCTTTAGGGCCTATGTGCTTGACATCGCAGAAAAATGATGCAAATGTGACATTAGCAGATTGAAAAGAAATATAATACTTCGTCTAACAATTGAAACAAATGTCTATTTTATCACACTAAATAATAAAGCATTTAGTTAATAATTGTAAACATTTTTTTTTTTTTTGGCCCAATGGTGGTATGAGCTAGTCTAATATAATCTATTTAGAATTCACTCCCCGAGGCAATGAAAGAATCTGAGCATGAATGCATTACACAATTTACGGGGTAAGAAAAAAAGGCGAATATCGATGACCTTTCTTGGTCTGGATTTAAGACCCACAGGGGTTATAATCAGCTTCAAGTCAAATATGATCGAGGAGTCTAATACTAATACCCAACATCAAATTACATGTAGCTTGGTTTGAGGCCTTGAAACCCATAGGCTACAATGTCCGACTTGACTACTTCCCCGGGAGCCACATAAGCCCCTCGCCGAAGACGGACGCCAGGGTAGATGGTGCAGCCGGAGCCAACATAGCAGTCTTCTTCGATTGTAACGGGGCGGCCCTGATACCGGCTTTGGGAGCCTTTCCGTTCCTGCATATTCGCATGTGCCATTGAACTGAGTATAGTGACTCTAGGTCCTATCCACGTATGGGCACCAATGCTGATAGCACAATCGTCAACAAACAGGCAATTCTCTGAGATCAGAACATCTTCACCAATGTGGATGTTATACCCATAATGACAGTGGAAAGGTGCCTCAACAATCGCTCCTTGTCCGATGGATCCTGTCGAACGAGATGAAACACCTGAAGGGGAGCCCACAATTGTATGGGAGCCCACAATTGTATTTGGTGGTATCACGATCTCCTTGAGCAGACGACCCTGTTCTTTCGCACTCAGGCCGGATATGGGATTACAAGAACTGTTGAATCGCCACAGAGCAGCTTTACATCTGTCTCTTTCTTCCACCAATTGAATATCGTATGGTCGATAGAGTTCGCCGCGTATCATTTTTTCCTTTTCTGTTTCCTCACCCGTGACCGTGCGCGCAGATAACTGATGTTCGATACTGAGAGCCATCCTCGCCTGTGCTTGTGGACTACTAGTGTCCATGTTGCTAGTGGAGGCTGGTCGTTGATCGATCCCACCCTGGAGGAGTGGCATTGTTGGTTTTGGGTGGGTCCCATGTGACAACTCTCTGATTGAAGGAACAACATGATAATCAGCTTTCGGGTGTCCTTCACGAGAAAATTCGTGGATTGGCGGGACTTCGCGATAATCCGATTTGGGCATATGTTCTGAGATGTAACCAGGGTGACCTGTGCCCGGCCAAGTTCGCTTTGGCCATGATCCACGACTTGAACCAACCCCTGTTGGGCTTGTGCTGTACTGTGAAGCAGCTCGGTCACTATCGTCGACAATGATAGGCCTTATTTTTCCTGCTTCGAGTTGCTCTGTCAAATTTTGCGGCCGATCATGCTGTTGGCTCAACTCATGTAAATACTGTCCGCCAATCTCCGGATATCCCTCCTTCGATTGCAATGGAACTGGTGTTTTCGCACTTGATGGTTTTTGCCAGGTACTTCGCGACGAATATCCCTCGCACAAAAAACCGCCTCGTATGCAATTGTTGCCTGCAATGGGAGGTCAAATGAATGCACTATATTATTTTTCAAGTGGGGCCTCTGTTAGTAAAGAGGGCCGAGAAGATGGGACTTACAGGCAGGATGCTGCTCGTCGCATTTTTTCTTCCTTTTCCGGCAGGTCATGCAGCCAGTCTTGGTTCTATTGCTGAAGACACGCTTTCTCTTTGGGGCAACTTGGACGGTAGCTTGCGGTCGCTCTGGGGGATAATTCGTCAGCGACGGAGAGTGATCATTTTGCATTGGCCCTTCGACCGGACGGTTGACAGCTCCCCAGTTTTTCTGGGCAGTCTCGTGGCCCTGGGCTTCGCGCTGAAGCACCTCTGCCAGCTGTGCATCTGAAGCATCGATTTGTTGCGCGCGTTGTGCTTGACTAATCAATTGTGAATCATACTCATGCCAAGGACCATTCACTGATGGAGTCCGAGATCCCTCGTTGTTCTCTGGTCTGACTTGAATCGGAGGAGAGAGATTCTTGTGATGGTTTTCTCCATGGGGTCCCATGGAACCATCTGTGGTAGGCTGAGGATGTAAGTCTACACCGTCATCTAGGCGAGATGCCGGACTCCTAGGGAGACTGGAGGCCTGATAGGACGTCTGGGGTGTTTCTTGTCGCCCATCGGACTCCGATCTCTTCCGCTTGTTTCTGTTGGCAGTTGACGGGCCAGTATGGGATGATGATCGCTGCGAGCGCCGGTCCTCTTGATCATTCCCAGCATTGCCGCCTTCTCGCAGACGCTCATCTTGCCGAGATGGAGTGTCGTGCCCGCTTCTCCCCCAATTTTCAGAAGCCTCTCGGGGTTCTTCATTGTTTGATGTGCCATTTGAAACAGGGGCAGGCGCAAGTGGTTCCCTCCCATTCACTGCTGTAAAGCGAGAGGGACTGTGGTCTGCGTTGGGCTCCCTCTCGGAATCGTGGCCTCCATTCATCACTGCTGTAGAGGCGACAGCAGCCATTGCGAGAGTTTGAGAAGATAGATATTTTATCTGCAACAATAATATTTTGGCCGATGTATGTCTTTCAGCTACCAATCACCTTTGCTGCTATGTTATTGGTATCTGGTGAACGAACTTTGCAATTTCTCGTTTCTGGCCACAATTGCACCTGTGCTCACTTAAACATGAATTGAAGCGTGGCAATCAGGTAAAGTGACACAGACGAACTAGCAATTCAATTTAATGCGCACGAGGTTAGCCGACACGGCCCAAAACAAGGCCGGGGAATTTATATAGGCTATCAACGCAAATGACGTTGCTGGATCTCTAGCGCAGTTCCGACTGGCAGTAAAAGAAAGAACAATGGAATATACGAGTTCGCATGCGCCCGGGTGATCCGCAAAAGTGCTGATAAATCGGGACGCTCACGAGGATCTCGCAGCCATCCACTAGACGTAAGACCAACTAATCTGGACGCTGCCACAGGGGAGACCGATGGTTTTGAGAAATCGTAGCCGGCGCAAGTGGATAAGAGCCAAGTAGTGGGAACCAAATTGAAAGGCAAAAATGTCAAGGGGGAGTATGAAGATTCACGGTTGTGACGGGAGTAGCTCAAGACGATATGGCGATGACCTTGGCTCTGGTAAATGAGGGAGAGATTGATAATGGTGTGTAATGTGTATTCTGTACTCTGTATTCCGGAACGCTATCTACTTGGATGGCGGCGGTGGAAGCGATGGTAAATCGAAGAGGTGAAAGAAGCAAAATGGAGGACACTCAACAGCACCCTTCATGGGAGAAAGTAAAGCAGGCATGTATTGAACTCGCAAGTGTAAGTAGAGAAGAGGGGAAGGGGTAGGCAAAAGGGAGAGGGGGTGGAGGGGAGAGAGAGTATAACCGATAGTACCTAAATGATACTAGGTAGTACGACAGTACGAAATAGTAATGAAAATAATGATAATTATTATAGTAATAAAACCCCCGGCCCCCCAAAATAAAACAAATAAAAAAGGCCTTTCTGTCGCCTGGAGAGGACAAATGAGGAACCAGGCGAGTTGAAGAGAAGTCCAATAATAACCACCATGAAGCGTCGGAGTGGAAAGCAAAACGCGCGACCAAGGGTTGACTGGGTACAGCCCAATGTCCTTGGGATTCGCTAGCGGCGCACCTTTTCAGGTAGGAAGCGGCTGCCAGCTGGCTAATGAGACTCGACTGGCCCCAAGTTGGCGCGCGATCGGCAATGGCCGCGCGACGACTCTTCAGCAACTGGTTGGCTGCTGGCCAGCCCAGCGCGGGTCTGAGACCCCTGGGAGGGGTGAGCGATAGCGCGCTCAGGCGACACGCCACTGTCAGAGGGAAACTTGGGGACCCAGCGCCGCCGGACCTGTCCAACCGCCAAGTTACTCGCTGTACTCGCTGTTGTGCGCGAGGGAAGCGCGGCACGGCGGCCGCGGGAAGGGGGGTAGAGTGGGGCTAGATGAGAATGAACAGCAAAAAAAAAAAAAAAAAAAAAAAGTGAAATCGAAAGAAACAGGGCAAAGAAAGGGGTCAATTACGGCACCCCTCTCCCCGTTCTTCCCACAAAGATTATGATGATCATTTGGTCGCTTGTTAAACTTATTCGCCATTGGCGCCGCACTGAGCAGCTGGCGCGTTTACAGATAGCGCTTCAAAGTACATACTCTGTACTATGTACTATGTATGCATTATCTTAGACTATCATCATAATGATGATATGCTTGGCAGAACCATTGAAGTCCTTTCCAAGGGGGGTTAAGACTCTAGGACTAACTATGGCATTAGATCGTTCTTTATATAAAAATAATGATTTAATATACTATCAACATAGTGAATCCGGGCAGATTCAATCTAATAATCCTATGTACCTTATGAATAGAGGTAGTACTCAGATAGTTCACTAAACTTTTGTATGGAATGCACCAAATCCTATCATGAAACATTTGGCTGGCTATACAGAGTATGTCTAGCCAGCCTAGAACCTGAATCAGGATTAATAACCACCTGCTTACCTACTAGATAATTTATTTACGCCTGTATCCTTAGCTTACAGTATTCTATCTTATGTTCATTATCTCTATAAATCTGAATCTAATATTCAATGTGTAACTTCCTTATTGTCTAGGATTTAAGTATGAGCCTTTAGCTAATGGTTCACAGACAAGCCAAACGCCTGTGGAGCAAGTGTCTTCAGCTTATTGAGAGTATAGTTCTAGTAAGATTTATAAGACACTGGTAGGGCTACCTACCTACCTACTACTTAGGCTATTCTCTATTATTCCGAGTCTTCATTGCTTATTTGTTTAGTATAGTTAGGCCTTGTCAATCAATTCATTCTCCACTACTAGCAGACAAAAGACCAGACAGGGGTAATAGCAGTGATAGCAGGTAGACAGTTCCCTTATTTAAAGGAGATCCATTCATTTGATGCAGACTACTCCATACAAGATATTTTAGATACTCCGTAAGTGGATACGTTTGAATCTATATCATAATATATTCCGGCTATCTATTATTATTTTGGTCTCAGAGAAACTAATTAACACTATGGGATATGCAAAAATCACCAAGGTCGAAGTAAACCCTACTATAAATGCATAGGTATACTGTTCGTCAATATTGTTGGGGAAAAACGGATTATTATAAGTCGACTAAATAGTGTACCTAACTAACTTAGGACCACAACAATAATCCAGATAGACTACTCCGTACCTACAAAGTACCAGTTAACTACAGTAGTTAAATAGCTTGTGCTGACTAAGCCGAAATCGGCTGCCTGGGGATACATCACACCGACCCGATATGCCAAAGAGTTTCATCAACTTGAGAAACGCGCTGTTCTTCACCGCCAGTGCATCACTGTATTATCCCAGACTTGGTACTACTTCACTTCAAGTTGCAGCCACTCATACCCACTCCTTATTGAAAATCGGTGTCACCACCAAATAATTCGCTCCTCAGAGCTCACATACAGCCGAACCCCTCCAAAGAGACAACCCCACTAAACATTCTGCGGGCCCGTTTACCTTTTACTTCTCTAAATACCTGCAGTCTTCCTTCGATTTTTTTTTTTTTTCTTTTTGAATCTCTCTGTTGCTCTTTCCCTCTAGACTCCGAAGGTGCACTGAAGGTCAAATTGTGCAAAGGGCGATATCGCCAGCCTTTGGAGCGGGATGTCGGTTTCCATACAAGAGTTGGACAATACTGTCCGAGCCCTCTATGAAGGCAAAGGGGATCTGGTAAGGCGTGACCCATTATTATTATTATTATTATTTCTTTTCCCCTCTCCATTTCCGCGCCACTGTCCCTTTTCAACTGCTAATCGTCGGTTTCAAATGTCTAGCAAAAACAAGCCCAACAGACCTTAACAGAAGTGAGTATATATAAGCTTGTCGGTAGTCTCTTGGGGAACATATCTAACCAAATTTCTCCGATCATTAGTTTAAACAAAACCCTGATGCTTGGTTAATTGTGGGAAATATTCTCCAAGAGTCATCGTATCCACAGACTAAATGTGAGGTTCCCTCGTTCTCTTATGGCACCAGCCGCAGAACTTACAAAAATATCATACTGACGCTCGTAGACCTTGCACTTCAAGTTTTAGATGATGTGATCATGACCCGGTGGAAGGTTTTGCCCAGAGAGCAGTGTCTAGGTAGTTATTTTCACCGCCGCAGCTGATTTCAATATCAATTGGGCCCTAACTATTCCCAGGTATTCGAAACTTCATCGTCAACTTCATTATCGAAAACTCCAAATCAGAGGAGGAGCTCAGGAGCGAACGCGCTTTTTTGAACAAACTCAATTTGGTTCTCATTTCGATTCTGAAGCAAGAATGGCCGCATAACTGGCCAACCTTTATCAACGAAATTATTTCGTCTTGCCACACCAGTCTTTCTATCTGCGAGAACAATATGGCGATTCTCCGCCTGCTTTCAGAGGAAGTGTTTGACTTTTCTCAGGACCAAATGACCTCTGTAAAAGCCAGAAATCTCAAGACATCGATGACACAGGAGTTTTCGTCTATTTTCCAACTTTGCTCTGAAGTTCTCAGCACCGCAAACCAACCTAGTCTAGTCAAAGCAACCCTGGAAACTCTCCTTCGATTTTTGAACTGGATTCCCCTGGGTTACATATTCGAAACGCCCATTATCAATACCCTTTTAACGAGGTTTTTGGACATCCCGGATTTTCGAAATGTGACCCTTAAGTGTCTTACGGAAATCGGTGGTCTGCAGATTGGAAGCCCTTACAATTACGATGAAAGATTGGTCCATATGTTTACCGAAACTCTTACTACAGTCTCGAAGACCATTCCGTTGTCAATGGACTTGAAACAAACCTACGCGAAGAGCAACTCTAGAGACCAGGAATTTGTTCTCAATCTGGCACTCTTCCTTTGCAGCTTTTTCAGTGCACACCTTGACGTATGCTCCAAATACCCGGAACCCCCCCCCCCCACCAAAATTGATGACACTGACAATTTTACTAGCTTATCGAAAAATTGCCCAACCGAGATTATCTTACGCACGCACACTTTTACCTCATCCGTATCAGTCAGATTGATGACAGGGAAGTTTTCAAAATTTGCCTAGAATACTGGACGAGGCTTGTGCAGGAGCTCTACGAAGAGATGCAGCAACTTCCAATCACTGACATTAACCCCTTGGTAAGCATGGGTGTTAGTGGTCTGTCAAACGGCGGTGCCCCGCACCCTAGTACTCTGGCCAACTATCCACTTCGCAAACATAAATATGAAGAGGTGCTGTCAAGCTTGCGTACGGTCATGATCGAAAAGATGGTGCGGCCGGAAGAAGTGCTGATTGTCGAGAACGACGAGGGTGAAATCGTTCGTGAGTTCGTCAAGGAAAGTGATACGATTCAGCTATACAAGACCATCAGAGAGTGCTTGGTTTACCTTACGCACCTCGACGTTGTTGATACAGAAAACATTATGATTGAGAAGTTGGCTAAGCAAGTCGATGGAACTGAATGGTCTTGGGTGAATTGTAATACACTTTGCTGGGCCATTGGGTCCATCTCTGGGGCCATGAACGAAGAGACTGAAAAGCGTTTTCTTGTCACCGTCATCAAGGACCTTCTCGGTCTCACTGAAATGAAACGCGGAAAAGACAACAAAGCCGTTGTTGCCAGTAACATCATGTATATTGTGGGGCAGTATCCTCGTTTCTTGAAGGCACATTGGAAGTTCTTGAAGACAGTTGTCAACAAGCTGTTTGAGTTCATGCACGAGACACACGAAGGTCTGTTATGTACCTTGTATCCGATATTCTTTGTCTAACCTACAACAGGTGTCCAGGATATGGCATGTGATACATTTATAAAGATCGCCAACAAGTGCAGGCGCCATTTTGTCGCCCTCCAACCCGGTGAAAATGAGCCTTTTATCGAAGAAATTGTTCGCAACATGAGGAAAATCACCTGTGACCTTTCGCCACAGCAAGTTCATACCTTCTACGAGGCATGCGGTTATATGATTTCAGCGCAGGGCCAAAAGGGTCTCCAGGATCGGTTGATTGAAAACTTGATGTCACTACCAAATTCGGCTTGGGATGCCATTATCGCTCAAGCCAACCAGGACCCATCAATTCTTCAGGATGGAGAAACGATTAAGATCATTGGAAACATCATGAAAACGAATGTGGCAGCATGCTCTTCAATTGGAACTTACTTTTATTCTCAAATAGGCCGCATCTATCATGACATGTTGAACATGTTCCGGGCCTCCAGTCAACTTATTAGTGACGCTGTTGGACATGACGGTAAGTCATTTCCCTAATAATTTAGCCTTTTAATTATTTTCTAATTCGCTCTAGGCAACATCGCGACAAAGACTCCCAAAGTTCGAGGACTTAGGACAATCAAAAAGGAAATTCTCAAACTCATCGACACTTACGTACAGAAAGCCGACGATTTAGAGATGGTCAGCGCAAACATGGTCCCAGCGCTGCTTGAAGCGGTTCTGGTGGACTATAGTCGAAATGTCCCTGATGCGCGAGAAGCAGAGGTCTTGAACGTCATGACAACGATTATACATAAGTTACACGTATGTTTTCTTTCCCTTGACGAAAATTGGCTTTACAGGATTAACCCCATATTCTGAGTCCACACTAACCTTTTATTTGGACCAGAACTTGATGGAGGACAAGATACCACTTATTATGGAAAGCGTCTTCGAATGTACGCTGGAAATGATCAACAAAGACTTCCATGAATACCCGGAACACCGCGTTCAATTCTTCAAATTACTTCAGGCGATCAATCTATACTGCTTCCCTGCCCTACTTAAACTTGATGCGTCACAATTCAAGTTTGTGATTGACTCATGCATGTGGGCCAGTAAACATGACAATCGCGAAGTTGAAAATACAGGGCTCACAATGTGTCTGGAACTCATGAACAATATGGCTGAGACTGATGCCCAGACATCAAGTATTTTCTTCCGTCAATTTTATATCGCAATTCTCCAAGATGTGTTCTTTGTTCTCACTGATAGTGACCACAAAGCTGGTATGATACACCCGCATCCCCCCTTTCCATTAAGAAAGAATAATTCTCATTTCAACTCTACAGGATTCAAATCACAAGCTATGCTCTTGTCACGCATGTTTTACTTTGTCGAATCTGGCAAAGTGCAGGACCCCATTTACGCCCCCGAACAAGCACCTCTGGGTACATCTAATAAGGAATTCCTGCAAGAGTATGTCGCCAACCTTTTGCAGAACGCCTTTAAAAATCTTCAGGAGTAAGTCATTCCCTGTGCAAATGTATGGACCTGTCAAGTTGCTAAATATGTTTCAGAATCCAAATCAAGCAATTTGTCATCGGGCTGTTTATGTTCAATGATGACTTTAATAAGTTTAAGACCCACTTGCGAGACTTCCTAATTTCATTGAAGGAATTTGCTGGCGACAACGCAGAGCTTTATGCGGAGGAAAGAGAGCAAGCTTTGCGGGATTCTAAAGCCGCCGAAAGAGATCGCGCAATGAGGGTAGGAGGTTTGTTGAAGCCATCAGAAATGGACCAGGAGGATGAGCTATGACTTGAAAAAGAAGTTCGCAGCGAATTCGCGATCCGCTCATCAACTGGGACTGAGTATACAGGGAAGTCCAACTTCCCTGCGGGGAACGACTCCTTTGATGGCTGGTCCCTTTATGGGCTGTGACGTGAATCGAACTGCCCAAATGTCAGTCATCATCTCATAGGTGTATTTTTTTGAACCTTGAGTAGCGTCCGTCTATTTTCCCTACTTAGTTCCTCTTTTTTGGCCGGACATCCTTTCACTTTCAGTCTTGGAATTCCCTGTGTCCAGTGGCTCATTTTCTTTTATTGGCCTTTTTTTAATTATTATTACATAGCTGTTCAATGATCGCTTGTCGGGTGGCTCAACAACACAAGCAAGTTGCAACACACATAGTAAATACTTCACTCCCCCCCGCGCCACCCTCTCCTCCGTCTTTTCTGCCCCGCAGCCATCACTATTTTGCTGATTTTATGTTCTAGGTGTCTATGAACCATGGCAAAGACTCACTAAAAAATAGATCGATACTGCGAACCGCAGATGATTTCTTGTGTATATAGACTTATTTTATTTATTATTATTTTTTCAAGCCCATTCAATTCACCAAAGTTGCGAAGAACTTCACACTTCGTAGATGATGATATTTGATACAACTAAAGCCACCAAAAATACTAGTAGATAGACTTAGCGATATCGACTGTCTTTGTGGACCTAGATATCGACGCAGAAATATGATACAACTAGATGAAGTAGCTGGCCAAGGCAAAACCAATGATGATCATGATATCAATGAGGGCGGTGTGGGATTTGTTTCGCAATTTGACCATCATTGGAATCCAGTAACTGTCCTAAGCTAAAAAAGCCATGCAGATCTCCCTGATCTATACCTGATTTACACCTTAGTCTTACATACTGAATTATAAAGTCGTGCATGTTTCGCGATGTCTCGACAAACGCTACAGAGCGCAGCGCCTAGCTCTCAAATTCAATCCACAACTGATGCCGAAGATCCATCGTCTAATGTCCGTGTTTCGGGCACACTTCGATTGAGGGGCGAAGATGTTCCCGACACAACAGAAAACAACCAAGATAGAGCTTCAAACCGTCGCATAAGGTGGAGCGAGGATGTTGTTGACAATGAAGGCATGGGCAAGAAGAGTTCTAAAGGTGAGGAGTTTGTCTTCCCCGCTACCATGAACTGCAGAGGTTGATGGCTGATACGCTTCATTGATCGCCAGTCTGCTGTATTTACCACAAATCCCGGCCTGTAGGCGAGAGCAGTTCTGAATCAGAATCCTCCAGCTCCAGCTCATCGGATTCGGATAGTGACAGTGAATCCCATAATCATGCGAGGAGGGTGAGCGCTTCACACAGTATCCAGGGTCGAAGCGGAAGCCCTGGGGAGAACCCACCTAGTCAGTTTCTAGGACGAGGGCGGGGGGCCTGCTGTTCCCAACACCAGGACAGGAAAAGTAAGCGGAGAAAGCCAAGTCCAAATGCATATGAGAAGATGCCAAAGCCTTCAAAGGGATTGTCACGAAAGCAAGACTCATAGGCTTGGTTCGATATCAAAACGAACATCGACAACGAAAGGGAGAGAGAAATGGAGCATCGCAGTGCATCTGGCTTACCTAGTATAAGCACTAGCGAGACTAGGATTGCGGCGAAACAAATGTTCGGTGGACTGCATCATTGCCCTTTCGTGTACTGTCTACAGCAGTGACGCATGATGCTTATCTCAAATAAACTAACCATGAAAAACACGCGACATATATCGTGGGACCACCAACCTGGAAATATCTGCCAGAATACATTTGCTTAAACTTTACAAGATATTATGAATCAGTCTGTTGTCTATACGTGATTTTGTGAAGTGTGATGAAGATCATTGTTAAAATAATGCCAGCACGGAAAGGGGTATCTGCTCCATAATTTAACCAGATCCAATGGGGAATCAATGTAAATACAGAATGTTTCGCTAAAGAACAAAACGCAAGCCATGAGCTGAAGTGAAAATGGGTTTCACACCCTCGAATGTTGCGCTTATAACACCATACTTCTTCTCCGGGCAGCAACTCGCTGTCCCCGTCGAACTTGCCTACTATCAATCGCCAAAGATTGCCGTGAATCCTCCTCTTCCTGCTCTTCACATGAATCATGTGTGTCTTCTAGCTTGGTGGATCCATGGACAGGCTTGGAGGACGCCGAGGACCCGGAATGGGCCTTCGCCAGGACGGGATAGGCTCCAATGTCAAGTTCTCCATCGTTTTGCAGCGGAGTCTCTTTCCCCAAATGTCTGGGGTTGGAGGAGTGCCGCCGAGACTGCCTTGACGCTGTCTTTTTTGTTTTCGCAGTGAGCTCTTGGGAAACTGCAGACTGAAGATCTCGCCTGGCACCGGCGCTTTCATTTTCAAGGCCAGTGACATTATTGCTATCTGCCTCATATCCATGACTGGGAACATCATCATGTTGTCCGGAGATGAATGTCTTGGTCTCTGCCACTGATTGTGCTGAGGCTTGATCATTGAAAGTATCACCTTTGTTCGCTGGCAATGTCTTGCGCTTCCTTTGAGAAACCATATCCATTGGCTGTTTCGAAGAGTTTTCCAGAACTTCCTTGCTAATACGGCCAGAATCACTATCTGTTACATCTGAAACACGAGAGCTTTTTATGCTGACCAACCCGTTTTTAACTTTTTCGTTCTCGTCGCACGAATTCGCTTGAAGTACCTGGGAGCTGGAAGATCTTCGGGAACCCCCATACCCAACCGCATCTATCAGCTCTTTTGTAGGCCGTCGCATCTTGTCTCTGAGGTTTGGTTCGGCGTAGCTCACAACAGCCCTTTGGCGTCGTGTTACTCGGGATGGGGCATTCAACATGTCAGGTGTTCGTCCGGGATCATCCTGCTGGAATAAATGCATTTCTGGTGACGGTGGGTTTGTCATATCTGGTTCACTTTGCTCAATCACATGCCCTGGGCCTTCATTTTCTTGCTCAATTCCACTATCAAAATAGCAGGTAGGGGCGTGGTCCGGTCCATTTGGTTCTGTTTTTGCCTTGTCTTCCTGGAATCTTAGAAATGACTTTTTGTTTTCATCTCCCTGAGCTTCGAGCATGTGTAGGGCATTTGTATCATGTCCCTGGGACATCAAAGCACGGAACTTCTTGGGAGAAGACATGTTTATATTCGTGCTCTCTGTTTCCGCAGTTAGTCGGGCTAAGCCAGGTTTCGGGGTATAGCAGCTTTCCATACTTGGCTCAAACACTTTACGCTTAGATGATAGGCGATTTCTTGGTCCTCTTTTTACCTCTACTTGTCTCTTCACTGGTGAAATATCCTCGCGCATCGACACAAACTTTTCATCCGGATTCGGTGAGACTATACTGGGTCGACTAAATTGAAAATCATCGTCTCCAGTCGCAATGGATGCAAGTTGGTCATCCTCTGAAATGAACTTGCGTTTTGACCCAGACTTCAGAGGACGTTTCGAATCGTTGTGTGCGATTGGATACTCGGCGTTCATGTCGGGAATACCCTCAGCCCTTGCAGAAAGACTGGACTTTTTCTTCTTCCTTGTCTCGAGGGTGGGAGGTAACAGAGGAACACCGTCCTCAGAATCTGCAACGATTGTTTGCATCTCAGTCGTATTTTCACATTGTTTTGAACCATGGTTGTCATCTTCGAAACTCAATTGAAGAACTGGTACTTCATCTTCCATTCCCGGTGACACTGGATCGTCGAGGCTGTCATTGAGTAGATCTTGCAATTCCTGGGGTCTATTAAATTTCAGTTACAGTCACCCAAAAGTATCACGCACACCAATATTTGGCACTTACTCCAGAGTCCTTCTTGGATAACACTTGTCTTCGAGTATGACTGGGAGTCTTCCGTCTTCTGGTACAAAGCTGTAATCGAAACCTGTCGCTCTGCGTCTGATATCCAGATTTGATAGCCTTGAAGACCCCGGGCCTGTCGACTCTGTTCTATCATCGTTTAGTTTTCCGGATTTCCGTGGTAGCGTACCCAAGTCCGTCACCAGGTTACCCAGCTCCGTCAACTTGCTTTCTAATTTTGCCTTGAGATCATAAACTCCTTCATGGAGCATCTTAGCCGCCTCAAATCTTGCTATATCTTGGCTCAAGGTTATAACCTGCTCTCGTAAAGAGACATTTTCAGATAGGAGGTGGGAAACTTCCGACTCGAGGCCGCGAATGCGGAGCGACTGTATCGAATTTACTCGAGCTATTTCGCGATTCTGCCGCACAAATCGCCGCTTCACTAAACTAGGATGTCAATGAAGTTCGTTTAAGCATGGGAAAACTTTGGGAACGAGAAAAGAGCTATTTTGCTACTTACGAGAATCAATAGACTCAGAAGGTGCTGTTGATTCATTCAGTCGAGCCATGCTGCCAAAGGCTGATGATGCCGGGCGAGCTGCTTGCCTTTTGCCCCTTGGCTATTGTGAAAAGTTTAGCCTGGTTATTTTCAATGACACGGCACAGTGTATTAGTAGCCGGTATTTGTTTGTGGTGTTGGGTTGTTGTTGACTGTTTGAGAGGTTGGGCTCTTGGATTCTGTGAAGATAAACATAATGAGGTCGGGATAGTAGTTACCCATGTTGATGTTTACCCGGATATGGGTTAGTGTGGGCACCCGCCGCCAGTTTTGTTTGGGAAAGCGCGAATCGGGCCTGGCGGCGAATGCTCAAACCTGCCAATGGGCAAGACATGATGTTAACATCTATCCAATGCATATCTATATACTACATTAATACCATTATCAACCTTAGAGCTACATGATACTTTGAGAATATTTGCTTTTCTTTCTCGAGCCTTCTTTAGCTCCCTGGCTAGATTACCTATCTTGAAACCTTTATCTGCTCTCGTCTAAGAAAATAATTTCGAGGTCCCTCCCCTCCCCTCCTCCCGCCATTTAAAAGCACCTGTTCAACCGAGACCCGAACGCTTTTCTACATTTTCCAATTGAAGAGTAACTGGACTCCCAGGTTGCAGTAGGAAAATATTTGGAATTGTATTTTCCCACGAGTGATTAAACCGCCATGGCCTATACTTCTCGGCCAACCACAATGCTGCCTCCAGGAACCTCGGCGGCGACATCTCTCCGGCAGCCAAGTAACCACCATGCAATCTCGCAACAGCAGTCATCAGCTTTGGCAACGCGCATTGCATCAAAAAAGGCCGAGCTGGATAACTTAAAACAACTTTGTGAACTGAGTGGTGCGCTTGCGATGCAGGTGCAAGCCCTGGAGAGTAAGTTGGGAACACTCAAGGATGGCACAGAAGGTTCGTCATTGTGGTCCCCGCAATGTCACTAATCCCGACAAAGTAAATAAAGAAGTATTTCATTTGCTTATTTGCTTTCTTCTGAATACTAGCTGTTGCTTGCGTTCTCTCAAATTGGGGCAATGTCTTGCGGGCTATAAGTATGGCTTCAAGTAAGTCTACCCTCGTGCCTCAACGTCGCTCTAGGGCATAATCCAAATAATTTACTTTTTCCCTCTTCTTTTTTTTTTTTTTTTTTTTTTTTGCTAATATATCTTTCTTTAGCTAAAGCTGTGGGTGTAACAGGACCGAGAAACCAAAGATCAAATTCTGGAGACAAGGATGGTGTGTCAATTGAGCATCACCTTCCCGCAACACTTGTCCGGATACCTGCAGAACAACAAGAGAAATCAAGTGAATAATAAATAGCAGTGCTATTATATTTTTGTACTGTTCTTTTATCTTTAGTAGGCTTGCTTTCTCTATTAACTTACTACTATCTTTTATATGGTTTTAACCACCATTTCTATGGATAATGTAACAAGAGATACAATCCAGTGGTGACTGGAACTTCTATCAGCTTGGGTGATACCAATTTTATGATCTAGTCTTGATGGTATCAATGATTCTGCTCTAGTCAGCATGCTGGACCTTATTTGATCCAATTGATCAAGGTCAAAACCAAGAGTTTGGACCTAATGATATTATTGGAATTCCCTTGTCTCTAAACCACGAGCATCAGCCTATAGCACAATAACGGTTGGCAGAAGATTCGAGTATCACCACATTTAAAGGAAGCTTACTATTCATGTAAGTTCTATTATAGAAGTTCATGCATACGCTGTCTACGATAAGCCCTAGCACTACCTATCTATAAACAGAATGATATCTATTAGATTCGTAACATTTCTCATTTGAGTTGCATCTACTATCTTTTTGATGAGGCAATGGAATATATACTGGTGCTGATAGGGTAAGGGTGCAGTTTGAACTTTGACTTACTGCTGGGATGCAATATCTTATAGGTTATAGTAGATAGTGTGACACATGGCTTATTTTATGTGGTTCATGTTAAAATAGAACATTTTGTTGAGAGTAAAACACAGTTTTCCCAAAACCAGACTTTAGGCTGGATTGACAGCATTAACTACCCTACCTAGTAGCTGATAGGGCTTACCCGTTAACAGTATAGGAAGGGTGACAGTTATACTATAATTATATAGTACATACAATTGAGAGAACCAGTAATAAAACAGTGTAGAATAATATGATTCAGTGTTTTGTAGGTATATATATATGAAACATTAGCTGGAAACAAGCCCTAGGTATGAATGGTTATGAATATGTTTAATATGCTGGGGCGGAGGGGGGAAAGGGGGGTGGGTACAGAGTAGTACAGAGTAGTACCTAGGGTGTTGATAAGGCAGTTAAAGAATCCTACCTTAATAAGCCTATAGCTAGGGATAACTATGTAGTAGAGTTTTAAGTCATTACTGTCTCAAATACATCATGGTGGTCCCATGCCCCATTAATGCTTTTGGTTTGAATGCTGTGGATTTCGAAGGATTGGCATAGGTTGTTAGATTTATTGTAATAATGACTGGGTTATTCAACAAATACCAATAGTCAGCATGTGTATAATATCGTGCCTTTCTACAATTCCTTGGAAGTTCTGCTCAAAAGTCTTGCCTTTCTAACAATTAGAAGTTGGCCTGGTTTTCCACACAATTAGCGGTGCATTTGCCTTGACAGTGTTTGAAGCATTGCGAGAGAATACGTAGATTATAGATAGAAACCAACTGGAGTCTTTATTCACAGGAACATTGTACTCTCTATTTGATCCCCAACTGCCGGTCTTGTTACACTTCCCCAAAAGGGCGTCTCTAAGGTAAGTAGCTTTGGTGTAAAGAATAACCAACTGCCCGTGCGCCCATCGGCGCCCAGAACTGGAGGCGGGGAAACAAGGTTTGAAACCGATAGCAATTAAAGGGCGCAGCAGGCACTTGAAGCTGAAAGGGTTTCAGAGCCAATCAATATGGCTTGAGACAGACCCGTGCTCAATTCAAAGATTGGCCTCTAGCCCCCCTTGGGAATGATGCATACTCCTTTACTCCACAGTTTTTTTTTTTTTTTTTTTTTTTTATTCTTGGGTTGTTACCTTTTACTAGTAGTGCCCACACAATGCATATAGAGTATGGAGTATGGTAGGGGATAATTTATAATAGGTATCCTGTATGGGATATCTTCCTTATCATAACCACCATGGCCTTGTCTACTCCGTACTCCATGCAGAAGAAGGGGAAAATAAAATAGATTGTCTTATATCATCCCCCTTTAAAAATAAAATTTCCTCCTCTCCCTTGGTTCTTTTCTTGTCCAACCGCCGGAGCCACAGGGTTAATTAATTCTTCAATTCTTCACAGTATCTCTTCTCCACCAGTCTAATGTGGTCTGACTTCGAATTCACTGTCGCCTTGTCCTCTCTGACTTCCACTGATACTACACCAACACTACTATCTCAAACAAACTATCTATTATATCTCCATGTTTGCTCTAGGTCCAGGTTTGATTGACTTCAGACTTTCCTCCCCTTATCATTATGTGCTTGAGATTGCAACCTGTCTGTAATTTATCAAATAGGAGGCAAATAAAAGTGGGGATATGCTTTTCTTCGTTGTCTTTTTTTTTTTGTCACGCCGTCACCCTTAAAAAAATTGATACCCATTACAATGATCATATTACTGTGGCAAAGAATGATAAAGATAATAACCTTATCATGATAGACCCTGATGTATTATGGAGTAGAGAGAGAAGGATTATTTTTTCTCCCAAACTTAGACTTTTCTTTATCCAAAGGGGCCACCGGGTGTGCATCACCCGCTTGTCCCCACAATCCAATCGAGGTTGCGTGACAGTCCGGGTAGAGAGGGGATGGATCATGGATGCCTGGGCATTACTATGTATTTCTTATTACTCCATATTATTATTATTAGGTATTATTACCTTGTCATTTTGGCCTGTGGAATTCCCTAGGTGGCAGGCAGTTGACTCGACCAGCGCACAAACCCCCCACTTCTTATGCAGCCAAACTGCAGTCCGCCCCACCTGGAATCATCTGTATTTCCATCGCCTCCCACGCCTCAATAACGCCATCCGCCCACCAACCTTGGAGAACATGACCGCTAAAGTTTGAATCCAGGGGCTACGCGTCCTCTAAGAGGTCCAAATCCCTCGTCTTGAAGTCTCAAGGTATCGTACTAAACCTGGTAGGCTACTTACTTTAGCCGTTGGAAGCAGCCTATCTTGTGTCTTGTTCCCCCTCCAATCTTCCCCACTAGCCTGACTACGAAGGTACCACTCCTACCTGGTAGGTACTTACAGACATACAGACATACACAGCAATGCACACTAGTTAGTAGGACAGCACCTTAGGAGCAAGACAGGTCGCTAATCGGCTAGGTAATACCTCATAGTACGGAGTAATAATAAGGTAATAATATTATTTTAGTTACTGGGTCCATCTCTGTAGGTACCGAAGGTATGTACAATTAATTAATACCTAGTGACTTGTAGCACTCTCTTCTCTCCAGCTCTCTTTCTCTCTCGACTTCATTCTTATAACTCGGATCAGACTATCCTCCCTTCCTCATCATTCTTCTCTTCTTTCTCGGTCTTTCTTTTTCTCTTCGCTTGTGCCCCCCCCCCCCAAAATCTCACATCCCCAGTCTCGTCTCTGAATTTTTACTGAGCACACCTTCTGGCGTGACACCACTGACGCCTGACCAAATAAGCAAGAATGAGCATCAAGTGGGGATTATGAGGTGATCACTTGCTTCTTCTCCTACCTACCTTCATTGCGAAATATATTTTTCTTTCGTATTATTCATCTTTCGACGAACGGTCTACTTTTATATTATTTTTCGATTTCCTCTTGTCTACTTCTACTCCGACTTTAGACCTACCTTGCTTGACCTTGGCATGCTCCTTTTATCTACTAGTATAGTTGGTTTGGGGTTCCGATAACAACCATCTTCTCTTGACGAGCATCGCTTCATTCTTGTTATTTATAAACTAATTACTGTCAACACTATCGTCCTTTTTATACCTTTTCAACTCGAATAGCTTAACCCAGTTGCCTGAAATCAAGCTCTACGAACATGGCAACAGAATGGTCGCTAGACTTCTGTCTAGTCTGTGATCGGCAAACCCTGGGTGGTCCATACTGCTCCCAGTCTTGCAGGCTGGCAGAACTTGACCTTGGCTCTTCATCCGAGGCTACGATATCTACTTCACGTCAATTTCCGAGGGACTGTCCAAGAACAGTTCGGGCGACACCAGCAAGAGACGTTGCACCGACCAACTCGAATTCACTTCCTCAAACCACATCGAGGGTTTTATCCCCTTCATCATCACAGACCTCCCTCTCTTCGCTCAAAAGCAACTCCTCACAGAACTCCACTATTCCGGACCGATATCAGAATGAATTACGTGACTATGCAAGTTGCTTTGACCACGTTCGTGACTTGAAAAGACGATTAACGTTGTCATGACAACTATAATGCGCCATTAACACATTTGTCTGTTTCGACTTGCAGAGCCTTCGCCAGCTCCGTCTTGAAAGCTGAGTTGGACGAAAGCGGCTTGGGTGCTCGATCCTCTTCTCATTCTGGCATACCTATTGCCAGACTATCATGATCATTGTAATCATCATCATACGTCGGTGCACCGAAGACACTTTATTTGCACAGCGAAAAAAAGTATATACCCCCCTTTCTCCTTGACTTTCTTTTCCCCCTTTTCAATTGCAATTCCGAGCCTTCTTGGATATCACTTCACTCTTATAATGGGCCCACGTCGACATGAACCACACTACAGAAGAAAAGAAAGAAAGTGAGAAAAATATACATATATTATTTTGAATAATGGAAAATTCACTTTGATCCACGATGCATCTCTTTCTTTTTGTCCTCTACATTTATCGAAACTGCTGGCGTTCATTAAGCTTATCAAACCTATTTCACTGATGTCAGAACATGTACTTAAAAGGATTGTGTTATTATTACGATTGGGCAAGAAACCATGTTAGGTAGCATGTATTGTAGGTTAATACGTTCAACATGTGCCTATTGGTTATGGGGTGTATGGGACTGACTATGACCTCTCCATGACTTGCTGTAACTAATTTTATCATTTCACTTGGGCATTTCTACCAAATGCTTTGAGTCTTTGATCTAAAAGTGTAAGAAGCTGAATACACAAAGATCACACCTGCGTAACCATTGGACTCGAGGCGCTGGCCTTGAGCTCCAGTTGGGCAGGTGCATACTTATATTGAATTGATATATACATAGCTGGCATCATCTATATTACCATCTTGCATCATCCGTGTTAGTTAAAAAGTGGCAAATGTAAAGAAAGGAAACCAACAAAAAAATATCAGAGTAGTCTTGTTGGAAACAGGTAAGGCTAAGCCAAGACCTTTTCAAGCTCTTTTGCATCCCTGGGCACAAATCGAGCTTTATATTTCTTGGGAATCGCCACCAGGCTGGTGGGGTCGGAATTGCCCTTGACAGGATGCCAGTCAGCGTCGTCGTGCGGCTCGATGTGAAAGCTGTTTAGGGTCCGCATGAAGACCAGGTACAGTTCCCTGTTGGCGAGTAAGGAGCCTGCGCACATCCGATATCCCATTCCGTACGTGAACATAGGTGCGTCCGGCTGCTCAAACCATCTCTCCGGTCTAAATTCTTCTGGGTCGGTCCAGACTTCGGGGTCTACACAGTGGACGAGAAATTTGTTAGCTCAAGTTCACAAGCATCATGAGCTGGGTCAGGAGAGACTAACCCATATTGCAGGCCCAAGAATTCAAAAAGAAAACAGTTCCCTTTGGTATCACAATTCCATTATAAGAAATGTCTCTGATTGAGGTCCGGGGGAGTGCAAGACGGAGAACAGTATAGAATCTACATAAGAACTGTTAACTTCAACAATCCAATTTGTTAGAGGTAAAGTGATGTTGGTTCATACCGTAGGCACTCCTTCACCAACGCGGCAACATATGCGCACTTTTGGTCATCGCCAGCATCGCACATTGGCTGGCCTTTACCGTATATCTCTTGAATTGCTCTCGCGGCCTTGTTCTGGATATCTGGGCGTCGAGAAAGAAGGCAAATACTCCAGGCCACGAGGGTAGTGACAGTGTCAAGTCCGCCAGAAAGCATGGTCAAGCTGATAGAAATGAGCTCCTCAGAGTTGAGTCGGGCTTCCTTATCGAGAATGACATTTGCTTGGATACAGGGCTCATGGATTCCCTTTTCCATTCGCTCGTTCAAGTCACGGTTAAGGCCGTTTAGATATCGATCACGGCGGTCTCTCATCTCTTTGGCCTTCTGTGAATTCAAACTGAATGGATTAAGGCGTAGGAGAGGAATGTAGTCTTGCAGGTTTCCCGTGGTACTTCTGAACTTACTGATCTCTTCCTCGACATGTGTGATCTCTTCGAACAGGGTCTCCTCTTGCGACGCAACACGAACGCCCCAGTTGAGCGTCAAGGCCAAACTCAAACTGAGTCGTTGGATCATCGCCATTGGATCCACGGATGTCTTCCCGCCATTTCCATATTTGAAAAGCTCTGCGACAAATGCCTTGGATTCAACATCCAGGTGAGAGACATACGATTCCACCGATGGCCGGTTGAGAGCCGATGCAGCACCCTTTCTGCGTCGCTTCAAAGATTCGCTGTAGGGTGAAGTTCCAATAGTTGTACCAGCCGTGTTAGATACGATCTTTGGTGTATATAGTCAGCTTTTTCTGGATGAAAGCCTCATAGGACGTTGACTTGTGCTTACCTTGTGAAACGTATAGAACTCGGGCCTTGAGCTTAGGGCTTGGGCATTATGCCCGAAAAGGACTTTGGCGGACGCTGCTGAGTTCACGATGACAATTGGGATATTTCCAAGCTGGATTTGATAAACGGGGCCGTAAGTCTTCGACCACAGGCGGTATTGCTCAGCAGCATTTTTGCGGATCTGTGCTAGATTTCCGATCAATGGCATACCACGAGGCCCTTTCATCCCCTTAACACGGACAGATGAGCGAATGAATTCATTCAGTATGACATATAGAATTGGGACAAGGGCAGTCACCACTCCCAAGGAGCGCAAGGGAGATTGGACAACATGGAGCTGCAAAAAGAACAGAGCAGCCGCTATTGCCATGGCGTCTTTTTACCTCTTTCCCTTTTTCCTGTGGCGATTTTTTTTTAATTTGGTTATTGGTGAGTTGAGGATGAAAGAAGACTGCCAGATATTTAGACTCCATACCCATTCCCATTAATATATGGCAAGTGATGCCAACTGTCATGCAGTGAGACTATCCTTTACCTACATCCAGAAAGGAACATTTCCGTTCTCCTCAAAGACCCAGACGGAGGCTAGGGAGCGTTGCTTTCTACCCCACATTTCTTTCCAAGCCAGAGGAAAGCCGGGGTAATTCAGCTGTGGATTGTGACTTTGCAATCCATCATTCGTTGCGTAGAAGGAGGTGATGTCGTCGGTGCAGCCGAGAGCGTTCCGCACCCGGAACTATTCCGCCTACCGTGGCGACGATGATCTACCGATTAGGTACGTTTCAAAATCTTCTAACACTGGACCATGGTTTTATAGTACTTGTTATATAAGAGGGATATATGGCGGATACATACCGCTTGAGGATATGTTGACAGATGATGACGGGAATAGCTAATGTAGATTTATTCCTCATCGGAAGATATATGTGCATGACCTTTTTGGCTCATGGCAGCTGGTGTCCATCTTTATTCATAATTAATTTTTGTTTTCTAATTCAACCATCAATATGCACTTTCATTTATTTTGATCCTATCCACTTACTATCATCTATATAGAATATCTAAACTACACTTCAAGTACAAGGAGAAAAACGTCGAATTATCGATATAGGGCGTCAAGATGCTTGAGGAATAAAAAGTCGGAGAAAACTATGACATGGATAAAAAGAGAATGGATGGGGGAAATGGGGGGAGGGAGTCGAATAGTTATGTAGAGCCAGTCTGCGTCAGCATGAGGCGATTCAGATGATGGCCCATGCGACAACAGAAAAACCGTCTGAAGAAGATTTGCCCGGCGACAATCTCAGAAATATTCAGTGAAATCTGGGAAAGCATTACTTAGTATTATGTACTGCGTATGACATGGATATTGGCTAGGTAGTTGACTTAGTGAATAGAAGGCTGAGATAGTAACCACGTATCACAGAGTAAAATAGAAACTGATTCTTTTTTAATTAAACGATCCCTTGATGTCTAACAACATATTCCTGGTTGATATGTCCTGATCGCGATGTCATTGCGGAGAAATGGTCCCCAGGGGAGACACCAATACAACCAATGAAGATACTTTGAGCATAGCAAGAGTGGAGTGCACAGTATCTTTGTATTGTCCACCGTACTCCGCCGAAAAGAAGTATCCTTGATGTGATGATGATGATGATGCCAACTTGGACAATGACATCAGTTGGGAGTATCCATTGCCAACATGACTGCTATTTTCACCGGTTATCATCCTGTGTTACTATCCATCACTGTCAAATGTAGAATAGAGATAAAATAAAATTAGATAAAAACTCCGGACTCGGAGAGAAAAGGATCGAAGCATTGTTGAGATCTACCACCTATATTAAGAATGAAAGGTAAAATCATACGAAATGCAGAGTCAAATATAGAAACATAATAGGAATTGACAGTTGTCCCAATAATGCAATTGAACTGGTTTTTGGCTTCTTTTGAGCCCCTGCAACCAACAGTCGCAACTACTGCAAGGAGAGCCAAATCTTGATTGATGTTGGCAGTGGGGCTGATTATCTAATGCCTACAATACTCCATGGGGGACGGGCAATCGTTTACCGTAGAACGGAATAGGTACTGGACCTACCTTACAGTCATCAGCTCTCCAGGGATTGTGGAGTCGGGCCAAGGTGATGGAAGAAAAATAAACTGGATCCCGTGCAGGCATTATTTTTGTCCAGACCCTTTCTAGTGGTGCTGGTGGTTGCGATCGCATTCGAGAAATCGACACCCAAAAAGTAAAATAAAAATTTCTTTTCTATCACTGGGAGAAAAAAAAAAAAAAAAGGTATTCTTGGCCAATCGCACGCATGGGTTATACATCATTCATTCATGTAGGACTCCTTAATACAGAGTGCCAGGGTGTTTGTTTGTACAGAGTAGCAAGATAATAGCAATGATGGATTTCGGTGGACACGGCTCATCGACGGAACCATGGATGGGTCAGGAACAGGAAAGAAAAAAAAATAGTTGATCGTGTGATTCATCCCACTCGAGTCTAGCGATGGTGTTGATATTCTGCGCTCCTATAATAAGTAAACATGAGTCTGGATGGAACTATCAAGATTGGCAAGAAATTTCTGCTTGTCACATGGCGGTCACGGAGTTCGGGATGTACGCCCGTATCATTGGGTCCCCCCACCCACGCCGGGGCCTGCCGACTGTCTGATTGGTGGGACAAGGCTGATGTGCGCAGCGAAGGCCGTCATCGTGACCTTTGATTATTGCCCCCCAAAGTGGTCCATTCCCGGCTGGGTGGATGACGCAGCAATCAAAGACAGAACAGGGCAGGTTTACCTGCTGGAGCTGAAAGAGACGGAATAATACAGTCGATAATGGATACCTAGGCACTATCAATTGATTGAGCCATCTGGCATTCCAATACTTTCCTAGTTGGTTGCTTAGTTTCCTCCCTTTCTTTCTGACTCAGGTCCATATACATAGACTCCCCTCGATCCTTTTCCTTCCTGCATTCTTTCTTCCTTTCTCTCTTCCTCCTCTCCACCGCAGCTCTGTACACTACCTCCTCCTTCCTCTCCTTTCCCCCTTTCTTCCTCTCCTTCCTACCTACCTCACAGTTACATCTACCACTGCAATCTCTTTAATCGTATTTCCAACTCGCGGTTCTGCTCACAACCTCCTATTAAACAAAGGGGCTTAGGATACAGCCGAAAAGCTATATCCTTCACGACACTAACCTACCACACCGGTCTTTCGATCGATCCCATATTTACTCGACCACAATGGCTTCGCGTTACTCCCGCAGACTCCTAAGACCCTTGCTCTATACCTCCGCGGCCGCAGCTGCAGGAGCAGGAGTTCTCTACATCTCATACCGCCCCCGTAATATTCCTGGCTCCGAAGCCCCAGCAGTACCCCCGCCAGGTTACCACGAGGGAAAGCTTGTGCCTCCCAGTTTCCCATACATCAAATCCCGTGCAGAACAGATTCAGGATCTCAGACGCAGCTCTGAGAGTGGTGAAGCCAACAAGGACAATGAGTATGATCTCTTGGTCATTGGTGGCGGTGCTACAGGCTCCGGAATTGCACTTGATGCTGCGACACGAGGGTTGAAAGTCGCAATTGTCGAACGCGATGACTTCAGTGCTGGTACAAGTAGTAAGAGTACAAAGCTGGTGCACGGTGGTGTTCGTTACTTGGAGAAGGCAGTTTGGGAATTGGATTACAACCAGTAAGTTTACCATTCTCTCTTCTTTTTTTGTCTACGTTTCGTGTGTCCATAAACTGACGCTGTCTGCGTTAGGTATGCTCTCGTCAAGGAAGCTTTGAGAGAACGAAAGTACTTCTTGAACACTGCCCCCCACCTGTCGAGTTGGCTCCCTATCATGGTCCCAGTGCAAAAGTGGTGGCAGGCACCTTACTTTTGGGCGGGCACCAAGTTTTATGACTTCTTGGCCGGTACGGAGGGAATTGAAAGCTCTTACTTCCTTACCAAGAGTAAGGCAATTGATGCTTTCCCCATGCTGAGAAAAGACAACCTGTTCGGTGCCATGGTTTACTACGGTACGCGACAACCCGTTGGAAATTATGTATTACAAATTGCTAACTACACGTAGATGGTGCTCACAATGATTCGCGTATGAACGTCTCTTTGGCCATGACCGCCGCCCTATATGGTAGCACTGTTGTGAACCATATGCAGGTCACCGGCCTGACCAAGGATGCGAATGGTAAATTAAACGGTGCTCAAGTGAAGGACCTGATTGCCGAGAAGAACGGTCAAAATGTGGAGTCCTTCAACATCCGCGCTAAGGGAGTTATCAATGCTACTGGGCCTTTCACCGACTCCATTCGACAGATGGATGAACCTACCGTCAAGGAGATCGTGGCTCCTAGCTCTGGTGTTCACGTCATCCTTCCCGGATACTATAGTCCCTCGGACATGGGCTTGATTGACCCCTCTACCTCCGATGGCCGTGTCATCTTCTTCCTTCCATGGCAAGGAAACACAATTGCTGGCACCACGGATGCCCCAACCACCATCACAGCGCAGCCAGAGCCTTCTGAGCACGATATTAACTGGATTCTCAATGAAGTCCGTGGGTACCTTGCCCCTGACATTACAGTGGATCGAAGTGATGTGCTTGCTGCCTGGTCTGGAATTCGACCCCTTGTCCGTGACCCCAAGGTGAAATCATCCGAGGCGTTGGTTCGTAACCACCTTATCTCGGTCTCCACATCTGGCTTGTTGACCTGCGCTGGTGGAAAATGGACTACTTATCGTCAAATGGCAGAGGAGGCTGTCGATGAGGCTGTCCAAGTGTTCGGCCTTAAGCCCCGAGAAGTTTTGGGGGCCCCTGACATCAGTGGTGCCGGAGGCAGTGGCTTGGTGTCTGACGGCGCAGTTCTGGATGGCAGCTGTCAAACCCATCAGGTCCGCTTGATTGGAGCCCATGGATTTTCCAAGACCCTCTTCATCAACCTCATTCAACACTTTGGTCTCGAAACCGATGTCGCTCAGCACCTCACTCAATCCTACGGTGATCGGGCTTGGCAGGTCGCTGCTTTGGCATCCCCAACCAACTCTCGTTTCCCCGTTCGAGGTTACCGTATCGCAACTATGTACCCCTTCATTGACGGCGAAATTCGCTACGCTGTCCGCCATGAATATGCTCAAACTGTGGTCGACGTCATTGCCCGCAGAACTCGCTTGGCATTCTTGAACGCTGAAGCTGCCCTCGAGGCTCTTCCTGGTATTATCGACCTGATGGGCGAGGAATTGAAGTGGGACAGCAAGAGAAGGGATCTCGAATGGAATGACTCTGTTCATTTCCTTTCGTCGATGGGCCTTCCTCAGACTCTCCGTAACCTTTCCAGAAGCGAGGTCGAGGCCGGTCGGGTGAAGGATGTCGATATCTCAGAACGCAAGTCGTTCTCCAGAGTTGGTGAGTAGCCATAATCCCTATTAGTTTTTGGCTGATACTAATCGTACTTCCAGAGGGACCTGCCGATATGCTTGCCACTGATGTTCGTACAACTGCAACAAATCAGTCGATCTCTGAGGGGTCTGCCGCTAAATAGAAATGTGATATAATAGATACGATTTGTGTATAAATAATAATTGATAAAATGTATTTTCTTAATTAAAAAAAAGTTTTTCTCGTTGGTCCTCGGTCTTATCTTCCTCGAAGGGCAGAAAGTTCGGTATTGTTTTCTGGGAGAAAAACAAATAATCACGCTGTCATAGAATCTACGCAAACAATATTCGTCGTGCTACATACCTAGGGCTAGGTATTTGCCATGTATTTATCCTGGCATTCAACCAATTAATATTCCGGAAGGAAAGAGATGACATCATTCTTGGTCTCTAATATCCTGTAGATACAAATATCCTTACATACATAATCATTCATATATCAGATGGGCCGATAGCTCAGCGGTAGAGCGTAAGATTGCAAATCTTAACGTCGCGAGTTCGATCCTCGCTCGGCCCTTTTCTTTTTTTGGTTTAAACGAAACACATTTTTACCCGATATACATCATCCCGGCCTCTTTTGTTTTTCTTTTCCATTTTCTTCTTTCTTTTCATGCAGCTGCCTTTTCCTCTCTTCATTTTCCAAAATGGAGCGACCAGACTGACTGCTTCCCTTTCTAATTCACATGAATCACCACCAGTCTGTCGTCCTTTCCTATTACATTGCTGTTGAATGATACTTCCAGTCCACGATGACCGCTCTAAATCTTGACAGTCTCGATCTTCTCGAGACAATTTCATGATAAAAATAATTTGCATTGCTATCAGCCTTTTAGCTATTATACACTATGACTTGGAAAGAATCCGAAGCAAAACATAGTGCGGAATGCGTCCCATCCAGTGTGAACATCGTGGCCCATGAAATGGAAAAAATTCCAGATGGGGACAACGTCAATTCTCAGGAAATTGACAGCATGGACAAGCAAGACCCCTTTGGAGACGAAAGCGATGCTGCGATGAAGTACAAGACGATGGCTTGGTGGTAAGGTGCAATCAAATCCAGTGGCATCGGCATTTGACTAACATGTATCGATCTGGATAATAGGCAAGCTGGAATGAGTAAGTCGACCGCTGTTTAAGAATGCATGTCGAAGATTCACCATCCAACAAATCCAGTCATGATCGCAGAGACTATTTCTCTTGGAATCCTCGCTCTCCCCAAGGCACTATCGATTTTGGGCCTTCTCCCGTCAGGATTGATCCCTCGTGACCAGTGTCCAATAAACCAAACTAACTTTCAGCAGAGGAGTTCTTGTTATTATCATTGTTGGAATTCTCACTTCGTATACCGGATTTACTATTGGACAGCTGAAGAGGCGATATGTGCAAATTCATACCATGGCTGATGCTGGCGAGATACTTTTTGGGGGCATCGGTCGTACTACATTGGGCACGGCACAGCTTACCTTCTTCGTATTCGTCATGGGAAGTCATATTCTTACATTCTCCATCATGATGAACGTCTTGACCGATCACTCGGCCTGCACAATGGCATTTTCCTTCAGTGGCTTGATAATTTCTCTAGTTCTTACCCTCCCGAGGCGACTCGAGAACCTATCACAACTCTCGTCAGTCAGCTTTGTTAGCATAATAGGAGCGGTTTTTACGAGTATGGTTGGGGTCTCTTTGGCAAACCAGGCTCCGAAACATGTTCCTCTATTCTCACCAGCACCTACGGTACATGATGCCTGTCTTGCTGTTGCAAACATCGTTTTTGCATATGCTGGACACGTCGCATTTTTCACTCTCTTCTCGGAACTAAGAGATATCAACGACTATCCCAAAGCTCTAGCATTCTTACAAGCAAGTGAAATGGTTCTATATACCGTGACATCCATCGTGATATATGCCTTTGTTGGACCGACTATCACGTCCCCAGCTCTCAATTCCGCCGGACGACTGTTTAGAAAAATATCTTACGCGATTGCAATCCCGACGGTATGTTATATGTATGTATAATATGAATGCCTTCCGCTGACTACACCCCGAAGATTGTGATTGCAGGCGTCGTGAATGCCCATGTGGCTGTAAAATTTCTTTATGTTCGCATTTTTCGGGGTACCAACGCAATGCATACAACATCTTTCATGGCAAGGTCTACGTGGGCTATCGTATGTGCTGCCCTCTGGGTCCTGTCATGGATGATAGCAGAAAGCATACCGGTTTTTAATGATATTTTGGGCTTTGCGGCAAGTAGAACCAGCGTGGACTCCAATAGACTGCCATCACCATACGCTAATCCATGCAGCAGAGCTCTTTATTTGCCAGCTGGTTCTCATTTGGTCTTCCTGGTATATTTTGGTTGCATATGAACAAGCATTACTGGTTCCACGGCTGGAAGCAGAAGATCCTGTTCGGACTGAACGTTGGTATTGTGGTGATTGGTTTGGTTACTGTAAGACAGACATGCATGGAGTCTTAGTGCGCAGCAAATGCAGATAAGCTAACGGTAAAGCAGTGTGTATTTGGCTTTTACTCGTCTATTAAGTCAATACACGAGAATTTGGTTGACGGAGTTAGTGGAGGAAGCTTTTCGTGTGCGGATAATTCATGAGCCTGCGACGGGATGGGGGAGAGCTTGCATGCAGATTCTAGATCGCAGATTATCGCAGGGTGATAAATGCCTAGTATCTTTGGCCGGAAAGGAGGCTTCTTGTTATTTTGTCGGGCAGGACCCATCGTCACGCATAGTTGGACTAGGGCGTTTTTGGGACTGGGATATGTGTAAGACTGCATCGTTTGCCAACTCAGACACCACCTGTCATAGGAATCGCATTAGTTAACTTTTCTATGTTACTGTAGTCCTAAAAAAGCCAACCCTTAGCTCACCCGGTGGCAGCTGAAACTTCCTAGGTGCATCTCTGCAGGTCACTGCCTTACGCAATTGCTGTGCTCCAGTGGAATCAGCAAACGCCCGGATATAAGTGGAGATACTTTGAAATCCCTGCCTCAAAAACCTCCTTATTTCAGATCGCATTGTTAATGGCGATGAGGATGCCAGTCCCACTATAGGTACTTTTTCTTTGCAACTAACATACAAGGGTGGTATCATACCATTCGAAAGTGGACGGTCCAGTCTGAATTATATTTCGCATCTCTAGGTACCCCGAAAATCACACCAAAAAGACATGGTCAGAATGAAAGATACTAGAACGCCAGATATAGAATCCCGAGAAAAACAAAAAGAAAAATAGAATGCCAGGTATTATAGAATTTCTGCCATGCAGCACAGCTGCAGAGCCCAATCTCATATACGTAGCCAGCCGTAAAGAGAGAAACAAAAAGTTTAAACAAAAGGGGGGCAGTGAAGAAGAGGAGAACGGCGATGAAAAGAAGACAGGAGAAAAAGAAAGACCTATCAGCCAACTCATCCGATAAGCTCTTACAACAGTCACGACGGAAATTTGTGCATCCTCAGTGATATGAGATCCGAATTAATTGGGTACTTCGGACATGGTAAATGAGATTGAAGGTTGATTCTTCAGGGTCATTGACTATATCCGGAATCAAGAGGCAATGAACCAGTCAGCCCTCGAGACGTTATGTTTGAATGCAAATGCCGCACGGCGAAAGCGGGTTTGATTCTCTCCTGACCGGCAGGTGAAGGGGAAGGAAAAAAAAGTTGTCAAAACTTGTAGTCGAAGAACAACAAGAAACTTTCGAAAACGCTCTTCACGGAAGTTTTGTAACTGAGATCACCACCCCTAGCCATCTGACAGCTGCACCTTGTCCCTAGCCTTTTGTTGCTTGTTTTTCAATGTTTGCAAGGAGGGCTTTAATTGTACGCGCCGGGCGAAGATATTCGAGATTTTCGTGCTTCTTGACAATTGGCGTCGTGATCATGAAAGGACTATGTTTTCGAGCCATTTGTCCCTTTATAATTATTCCAAAATCGCTCCACGGCTTTTTGCCAGATGGGGCCCTTGAACTCGGCGCGGAGATAATTGAAAAGAGCAAACTCGTCACCAGTGAGCACATAGCTGTCCGGTTGTCTCTCTAATTTCTGTTTCACTTCGGCCATGGCATTGTCGAGAATCTCTTTCGTATCAGGATGGATAGGGCCTGGTCCGTGGTCCCTAGCCCTTTCTAAGGCGTCTTTAACGGAAGGCTTGCTTGCCATTGGGTTCAAAAATCACTCGACACGTTGCAGCAATATTCGGTTCATTCGTTGCTGTAACTCTCAAGGAAAGGGGTGAGAGGTGAGGTAAAACGTGTTCAGTGAAAGATAGGAGGGGTGGGAGAGGAAAGAAAAGAAGAAAAGATGAGTACCTGTTGTAAAGGGGGAAAGAGAGGAAGAAAAAAAAATGAAAATGAAAAAAGAGCGTGAGAGAAAGAAAAAAAAAAAAAAAGATAAAAATAATAAAAATAACAAAAATAATTATAATAATAATAACAACAAAAAATTGGATAAGAAAGGATGACCCAGAGGAGAAAAAGAATTTCTTTAACCAGAAACTTTCTTTCATGGAAGTTCCGGAGCTTTTCTAAATTAATGCAGTCTGTGTGGAGCAGGGGTGGGCAATCGTGGATCGAGTTTTCCCTTACGACAGCGTACAAATGCTTGCTGGAGACAGCTATGCTAGCAGGAGCATGAACTTGCTTTTTTTTTTTTTTTTTTTTTTTTGAAATTTGTTTTAGTTGCCATTTAATATACCATACACTGTCGCTGGTTACTTCCATGCCAGTTTGATATATCATTCGGCAGCTTTCTAAAAGTCCCAGGGGAGGAATCCCGAGAAAGTTCCCCCGAGAACAGAGTCGCTGGGGATTATTCTTTAGGGAACCTGTTCTGTTTTTGAGCGGGCCATGTGGCAGGTGGGGTGTTGTACGGGCTCACCCGCTACGGCATAAATCGCAGCGTCTAACGGTTTTGCTCACGTTGGGAAAGGATCGGAGTTGGGCTCCACGATAGGGTTGGCGGGCCAGGACCGAAGGTGCGAAACAAGGTCCGCTATGCCGGCGGTAGTCTATTTCTGTAGAAAGCAGCGCTCAGATGAAACAGCCTATGATGGTAGTGGGAACTTAGAAGGGCGGCAGAACGCCGGAAAAGGAACTTCGCGAAGACGCCAAAGGCGATTTAGGGCTCTTCGACGAGGAATCCACGTCCCACAACGGAAGGTCTTTTCCTGAAGTAGTATCAAAACACCCTCGGTTCTGAAACTTCAGAGCTGCTGAATTCTGATACGTAAGACCCAAACCACACCAGGGTCGAAATTGTCCACTATCCGCATGGTCCGGTGCATGAGTGAGATGGAGAGGGTGGATTTGGTTTTCTGAGAGGCGATTTGGTAGCAGCGAGCGAGGCTACTAGGCTAGGAGAATTGAATGACTCGCATAAAATAGAGTCCCCCCCCCCGGAACGAATCATTTATCAACCATACTGCCGAGGAGCCCAAGCATGTACACTGATATACACTGAAGTACGCAGCTATGAAGTCGTGCTGAGACGTCCAACCTTAATCGCTTGTCAGTTCACAGTTGTCTGATGTCGGTTGATCGGACGGAGGCCGTGCTTACCATGTGCTCAGTCATGGTTGAAACCTCCAACAAGAGTCGAGACAGTTAATGCTCTGATCGGGATTTGAAGTTAAATGTGCATAAACAGCTGGTGTTTGTGTTCCCCCAATAGTATATGTATGGACACGACAGACTGCCAGGTCAGGTGCTTTCACATGTTGTATGTTTATGCTTGGGCCTTTTTTTTTTTAATTATTATTATTATTATTATTATTATTATTATTTTAATTTTTTAAGATTTGGCCGGAGTACCGGACAATTCTGCGAACGGTTAGACAAACCGTCAGAAACAGATGGCTGATAAGTTAAAGACCACAATCAATTTTGTTTTTTGAGACCTATATATATACCTAGATATGGTATATAATGTGGGATTTCTCAAGGTTGACGAGTATTCCAATTCCTTAGGTTCATGAACATGATTTTTTTGAAGTTTTAAACAGTCGTCCGTCTTCAATTCCTTCGACAAACAGTGCAGCCCGTTTGGGAATAGTGCAGCAGGCGACCTGTCTATATACCTAATTGTATATATACTTAAAAATCCTCAAACATCGGGATCTATGATACTGTTTTTAAAATTAAGCTGATAAGAGGTTGAACCCTGCGAAATATGAAAGACGTGCTCAACATTCCAATGTCCCCATGTCTTTAAGAGTAACTGAGGGGCCTTTTTATGAGTTTATCCAAAAGTAGATAAACAAATGAACAAATAAATCAAATAAATTTCTGCTTCCTTTAAGTTGATATATGAGCCCTTTCTTTCAGGAAGACTATGTGTATATATACGTGTGGAGATAATGTCAACAATGTGACGGCCAGCATTTTATACTTCCTTATAGACAAATGACTAATCTTCAGGACACAGGAAAGTCATTCCCCACCATTAGTACGGCGTAGTAAAATCTTCCTCCCCGCCTTTTGTCTTGCAACTTACACTCTGCTGCTTAATCTTGTTTCTCGTTTTTGCATAGCGAATTGGTTATATCTTCTCAAAAAAAAAAAAAAAAAAAAAAAAACAGATATCAACTT